CTCCGTAGCAGGTACAGAGCTATGCGTCCATAGCTCCATCCACCTGTCTTGGAATAGCTTCGTTGGAACAGGTATCCAAGACAGGCCTGTGCCCCCTGCGGAAAAACATATGGAAAGCATGGTCCTCCAGTAACCCTTAGCTTAGAATCAGGGTGTACACACACACACAAGCACACAAATGAGGTTTCAACACCCCTCCAACGCCCTAGGTATGTTGTCGTGCCCACGTAAGGAATTGTGTTAGGATGCTAGCTGCTAGCCCGAAAAACTTGCGCCCTCCGTTTTATGTTGGGAAGTCTCAAAAAGGGGTCAAAATGATCCTGGTCTCTGACCCCTCCAAAACCCATTTCCTAACAGGGGTCGGCGATTGTGGCGTCACCCTGAATCCGGTCTGGCTGTCATGGTCCAGTGCGGATGCAGGCCTAGTTAACGCTATGCTTTAAGGGCTCGACGCCACAACCGCCGACCCGAACCTATGAAAGCCCTGGAGTCGTGTGATTTTTGGCTGCGTTTGTGAGGCTTCCCCCCCACGCCGCAGAGGGCCAGCATCATCAGCACAATTGGGCTTTCGTGTCTCACTTTTGGGCACTTCAATATACCTAAGGTTATGGAAGGGTGTTGGAACCTCATATGTGTGGTGTCAAGAAGACAAATGGGGGCCCAGATAAGGCCCTTAAAAAGCGCCATCAGCCCCAGCAGAACCCCAAAGCCAAACTAAACCCTCCCACAAGCAAAATCCAAAAGCCAAACTGAACCCCCCCCCATACGCAAAACCTAAATGGCAAGGTCAATCCCCCCAAAAGCAAAACCTGAATGACAAGCTTCACCCCCCCATAAGCAGAGCCCAAACTGCAAAGTCAACCCCTCCACAAACAAAACCCAAAGGGCAAGGTTAACCCCCATAAGCACAACTCAAAGGGTGGCGTTAACTTGCCCGAAACCAAAACCCAAATGGCAAGGTTAGCCCCCCCATAAGCAAAACCTAAGGCTTGGCTTTCACAGGATGGTTGGGCGGGCAGGGGGGGCTGCGGGCAGGCCGGCACTTGCCGTTAGGTCTTGACTAAGCATAGCTTAGTCAGGCGTGCATCTGCACTGGACGCCAACGGCCAGGCCAGACTTTAAGAGCACCCGGCTCAGTCCGCCAACCCTGAGGCCGAGAAGTCACGAACGCAACGACGGCGTTAGCCCCAAACCTTCGAAACCAGAAAGCCTAGACCTTTTTTGTAGTGCAATCTCTTGTATATGGCTTTAAAGCTTCAATCCCAAACCCTAGCAGCGCTTAAAAGAACAGTTAAACCTTTAACTTTGATGTTTTCAGTGGCTGGGCACGAGGCCAGTCGGAGGACTCCGCTGGACCTTGGGCGCCTGCTGTTTGGTGTGTATGATGTTGCTGCTAAGGTGCTAAAAGACTGCATTCCACGGTTGCAAACATGTCCAGGCTTGATGAGAGCCTGGGTGGGCACCATGCGACCCAGGCCCCCAGGGCCTTGAGCCCGGCCCAGGCCTTGCGCACTTTTTTCGCGGGATCGCCAGCAAGCCCAGCGTCATTCAACTTGCAACCCCACAGGCCAATGAGTTCAAGGATCTTACAGAGCCAGGCTCGCGAAACTTCGCAATACCTTGGGGGCCTGATGTTTGGTAAGGTGCTACAACACGTGTCCAGGTCTTGATGAGGTTACCCTACGGCATTGGGGAATCTGCAAAAACTCTTCTCCAAAGAACATGGAGGTCAGCGGAGATGGTCGTAGGTGGAGACTCCCAGCGAAATGCAGCCGGTACACCCTCCCCCCACCCCCGGCGTGTAAGGGAGAAAACAAGAGGGTTTTCACCCTCTCCGTCTCTTGAAACCACCCCAACACGCCCCTAAAGGTCGGCGGACTATTGCTACCATTGCTTTTAAATGCTTATTTCTATCATTATCACTATTATCACTGACATTGTTATTTGCAAGAGTTTGAGGACTTTGGCATCGACGGGACCTTTGCGCGCCTTTGAGCAGGGAGAACTTGCTCCGCATCCTATGCCAAGCCCTGCGGTCGGGTCTGCTCATCAAGACGATACGCTTAAGGCGGGCCAGTCCTGATGCACATCAGCTTACTTTTCCTTGACCGCGCTAGAAAATTACGTCGTTGGCTGCATATGCTCTTTGCTCCCCACATTGCATGTAGAACACGTTCATGGTTTCAAGGTGTTGGGAGCTTGTCAGGTATATGGGCCTCAGGCGAGATGACTTGAGGCCGCTGCTGCAGATGCTGCGAAGAGAGCTGGCGCATGAACATGATGGCTACAGCTGCCGGTTCCCACTGGCTGAACTGAGTTTAGAAGGGAACGAGCTCGATGAGCAGTTCCCGGCTGCCATCTCGAATGCGCTGAGGGAGCTGTCTCCTCCGGTAGCCCTGCGCTGGCCGTATCCAGACCAAGCCGTGCCTGGCAAAGGCCGAGGCTCTCAGCCAGTCGAACAGCTGCCGGAACCCCGAAGTTTTGAGCTTCGAAAATCCGAGTCGCTTCCGGACTTGGTGAGTGCCGGGAGCTCTGACATGCCAGAGCGAGACGCGCTAAGTGAGGGTGACATTGATGACAATGACGGGTTCAGCAGCTTGAACCTCCGATCCCGCAGGGAAACAGTCCAGCAATTCCAGGAAGAGCTTAAGATTTTGTCCGCCATGCTGGAAGCGAGGGGAATTCGAGGTTCTGGCCGAGCACCAAACTTGCACAGCGCAGGGCAGCAAAGTGGGCATGCGCAAAGCGCATGCGAAGGCAGTGCACAACAGGTTCTGCAGATGCAAGCGAGAGGCTTCGGGCCAATACGGCAAACGCTGGCAGAAAACATCTCAAGTCACAGTGGTGACGAGGGTATTGCGGTGGGGACCATTCCGGACATGGGGCTTGCATGTGGTTTTGGGCCTCCTGTGCCTCCTGGAACATATTCGTACACAGAATCCACCGAAGGCTCAGAAATCCCGGGAGAGTCCATCCCACCTGAGTCTGATGGGCCGCCGCAACAACCATCTAGTGACCCTCAAAGACATGCAAAAATGCAGGTCCTTCGGAGCGTGATCTCAGAGGGACAGAATACTGATATACCGATGGATCAGATGATGCGTTTTGCACTGGACCTTGTGAGCTCCGACACAAGCCTGAATGCTCTCGCGGAGCTGCCAGGGCGGCTGGAGATGGAGGGCGAGCGCTCGTCCAGTCAGTTATTTCCGGGGCCTGACGAAAGGAGCTCCCACTCCGAAGGTGACAGGCCACGACGCTCCCATTCTGTGTGAGTGCAGAGCGTCGTGCTGAAGCCGAACTGCTAATGCCACAGCCACTGTTGAGAAAAGGGCAGCTTTTTGGCCTGCATGTCCGGCACAGCATAGCACGTACTGAGAAGTACGTGGCAGCACGTAATCTGCCAGCCTTGCTCAGGCACAGACCAGCGTGGCGCCAACTTGCCGTAATCTCCGCATGGCCGAGCCAGCAGCTTTCCTTGCAAGGCCTCGCCTCGCCCTGCCCTGTGCTCTGCCGAGGCGCAAGATGCTCTAGTAAGTATTCATGCTTGGCTTGCAGGTTGTGGACGGGGCTGACAAAACCGTGACTCCACAGGCAGTGACTGCGCTTCTAGACAAGATGAATTCAGGCTGCTTTCAATTCACAAGGCCACGTCAAGGCCTGCATTATGTGCCACGGCGTGAAATGAAGATTGCAGAATTCAGAGACTTCTTGCTGTACAGTGCATTTCTGTTTGTGGAAGTCAGATCTTTGCGGGCCTGATGCAGGATCCTCTGCACCATTCCCGCTTGCATTGGATGCTCAACCTTTGCTCAAAGTTTGGCTTTGCATCGCGGGCCGAATTCCGCATTTGTGTGCTCTGCCCGGTTGTTTGATTTTGAAAGAGTATTCTCCAGGATCTCCCGTGTGGCTTTCAAGTGCTTCCAGCGGTAGGACAGGCCCTGTAAGAGATTGTCGAGTTTGCATCGCGCTCAAATGGGCCTACTCTTCAGCAAGGTGTGGCAGCGCA